TTGTTTTACTAACACCTTTCCCTTTCTTCTTATTCTTTGAGCCATTATTACACTGCATGTTATACCCTGACTGCCCTAAGTCTACTTTACCCTTCACAAACAAATTATTGCCATTCCTCTTCTGGACCTTTAACTCTAATTCTCTAGCTTTTAATTCATCAATTATTAGGTCAACACTGGGTACAATATTAGTGTATTGAAGTGCATTTTTAACAACTAGGTACTTATCAGTTAGGGAATTCAATAAAATTATTGCTAAACTAGTATCACCTAACTCATGATCTGTTCTATTTAGAATTATAGTCATTTTCAGAAATTCGTCCAAATTATCCTCTAAAGACTTTGAGTTATCCATTTTATAAGAGAAGAATGCACCTTTAAGAAAAACTAAATTTGAAGCATACAATGTTTCAAGTTTACCCCATAAAGTGAGAGAAGTTTCCATACCGTCTACCTTCCTCAGCACATTGTTTGAAAGGTTCATCACAATCAGATTGTAGGCTTTCTTATCAACCTCAGCCTTTTTCTTTAGTTTTTCCTCTCGCCACTTCATTGAGTCTTTCTCCAGAGCAATTGCAACCTTGTTATGCGACAACAATGCCTTCATCTTCTTCTTCTAGCTGTTAAAGTCAATTTTCCCATCGTATTGGGAAATTTCCATCTGTGTGGTACTCATAGTGAGGTGTTTGTTAGACAATGTTGATCACTCTAAGAACCCTATAATCTACAAATTGATTCTGATCTCAAACGATTGAAACACTAATTGAACAAAGCAAGAACCCTAGATTATCTAAGAGTAGTCAAATTTCAAAGCCCCCAAAAAATTTCAGTAAACCTTAGATCTTCAAGAGAAATTTTTTAATTGGAGAATCTTTTGACTTAAATATAATATCTAAGAGCCCTATAGTGCTAAGGAACAATCAGATCAAGAAAGCCCAAAATTTCTACGAAACCCTAAAATATGAGAAGCTCAATTTGATTTACCCAAAAGAATTCAAGAAAGAGTAACCTTAGAAGTTCTAGCTTTGATACTACTATTGTGATTTGATCTAATTAACTACCAAAAACAGTTCTTGCAAACAAATCAAAGCAAACACACACAAATAACAAACAAGAATTATTATGGTTCACCTATTCAACAGTGAATATGCTACGTCTATGTTGAGCTCCACAACTAATGGGGCTCTTTGCACTAATCAATTCAAATATCCAGATTACAACTCAATCTCTTTACACAAGCTCAAGTCCCTCTTCTCAAGACAAAAAAAAAAAAAAAAAACAGACCTGTAATCAAACCTAGGAGAAACTCTAACCTGGAGACCCCTAACCTAAGAGTAATCTACCCTCTAAGAATGAATTTCAGCCACATTCAATTGATTACAACAGATCTTTAAGAAGCTACAGCCACGAAGCCTATATGTGTGAATCCATTTGACTAATAAGATATCCTTCCTAAACACCACATTCCAAACATGATACGTCATTAGGGGCGCATTCCACATAGCCAAAGGTCGAATGCCCAAACCTCCCGCTGATTTTGCAGAACATAAGTCCTTCCAAGCCACCTTAGCTTTACCTTTCCCCAAATCAGAACCTGCCCATAGGAAATTTCTGAGGATCTTCTCTAGAGCCCTTGAAACAGAGGAAAGAAGAATGAAAACTGAAGCCCAATACACCTGCATGGAAGACAAAATAGAGACAACCAGCTGAAGTCTGCCAACATATGAAAGGTACTTGTTCTTCCCAGAGGATACCCTTTTCTCCACTTTTTCAATAAGAGGAATACAATCTTTACGGTACAAGCGAGTAGTGACCAAAGGAAACCCCAGGTATCTCACAAGCAATTGAGCCATTTCAAAACCCATAATGGTCTTAATACAAGAGCCATCATGTTGACTAATGTTACACATGAACATGGAGCTTTTGGCATGGTTAGGGTGGAGTCCCGATATGGCCAGGAACTCTCTCAAAGCATCCTTAAGAGTCACAACCGATAAAGGGTCACCATGACAAAAAAGAATAAGTCATTGACAACACATAAATGAGTAATTTCCTGAGTAGCCATCTAAAATGATATTTAAAATCTACTTTTTCTCACACTTTCCTATGAATAATCAAGGAGAGCACTTGCATCACCAACGTGAAGAGATAAGGGGACAATGAATATCCTTGCCTCAATCCTCTTTCCCTGGGAAGAACCTATAGAGCTCACCAGTAACAAAAATAGAGAAAGAAGTTGTTGTAATACACTCCCAAATCCACTTGATTATCTATGGAGGAAAACCAAACATATGAAGAGTTTGAACCATAAATCCCAAATCCACACAATCATATGCTTTTTGGATATCAACCTTGAAAGCACACCTCGAAACTCTACCATTTTTATGATAATTCCTAAAAAGCTCCTATGCGAATAACACATTATCACTAATCTGTCTTCCCCGCACAAAAGCAATCTGAAATTCATCCACCAGGTCAGCCAAATAGGATATTATTCTATTAGCAATGATTTTTGAAATGCACTTGTAAAGGACATTACAACATGATATAGGCTTGAAGTCACTTACTCTTAATGGCACCTCCACTTTCGAAACAAGAACGATAACTGTCGCATTCACTTTTTTAAGCAGCCTGCCATTGTTAAAAAAATCAATAATAGCTTTAGAAGTCTCCTCCCCAATAATACTCCAAGATTCTTTGAAGAATTTGGCCAAGTAGCCAATATCAAAGATGGCTTTTTCTGACCTTTTCCATTGTCATTGGACGTGTCATATAAACGCACTGATGCTCTTGGACTTTCTTGGTAAACATAACTTCTAAACCTTGCATAGAAACCACTGGATGGGGCTGATCCAAGCAAATTTTAGTAAAAGGAAATGAAAGCACTCCCCAACTGGGTACCCTCAACCATCTCACCCGAATAAAAAAGAATATGATTCACTCTTCTAGAATTATGATAAGATTGGAGAGATCTATAGAAGAATGTCATGTTTTGGTCTCCCACACTTAACCATTGGATCTTAGATTTCTGCTTCAGGAATCTCTCCTCATCTAATAGTGCTTCCCTGAAAGCTCCATAAAAAACAACCTCACAATCTCTTAGATCTTGGTTATGAGGATCCATATCTAAAGCCCTTTGAATTACCTCCACTTCCTTACGTAAAACTGTGACTTTCTTACTTAGATTCCTTTGTTGTTGATTGAGAGCTCGAATGTGTGGTTTGAGAGCCTTCAGTTTTTTGACAATCGAGAACATGGGCACACTAACACTTCCCATGGACCGAATTCTTTGCACTAATGGTAGAAATTCTTCTTTATAGGCCAGGTAATTAAAAAACTTAAAGGGTTTTTTTATCAACTCACCATGCATGGGAAAGGCTGTGACTAAAGGGCTGTGATCACTGATTCCCGGGGGCCAAAACAAGGAGTTGAGTCTCGGGAACCGAGCAAGGAAATGAGCATTGCCCATAACTCTGTCTAGTTTTTTAAGGACTCCATTTCCTAAACTCACTTGACAAGTAATGCTAAAAAATTTGTCAACACTCATAAATTCTTGCCTAAATTACAACTTTTAGACTCAATTGTAGATTAATTTGCACCTAAAATCTGAACTATAGGGAGAAAAAATATCTTGATAATATTTTTCCACTTTTTTAAAGACGAAAAACGTGTTCCAAGTTTTTATATTACTTTATAAAGTGATATATGTGAAAAATTTTAAGTGCAAAACCTAAATTTTGGAGTTAAAAAGTACAAACGAAACAAAACTAAAGGTGAAGTAATAAACATTTTCAGCTTTGATTTATGTGTAAATTTTTTAGGCGACGAGTACCATTAGACTTGAAAATTACTAAATAAACAGTACATATGCGCATGGACTTAGCTAGTATATAAAATATGGGTTTAATTGAACCCTTTCAAACTTTGAAAAAAATTAAAAAAAAAATTATATTTTATCTTATTAACAATTTTGATCCCACATAAATTTATATTGATCCCACAAAAAATTGTATTAATTAACAATTTTTCACCTTTTCTCTCTTCTTTTTTTTCTGTCTTTTTTTTTTTTTTCATAGTTTCTTCTTTTTTTGGTTGGATTACTCAAAAAAACTACTCATTTAGAGGTTGCAAGGTAAGATGATGCTTTTTTTTTTTTTTTTTTTTTTAATTTTGCTTAAAAATCTTTTCTTTTAGTTTTCTTAATTGATAAAAAATCATGAGCTATAAGTTTTTGTTGAGTTTAATAAATGAGTTTAAAATTGGAAGATTAAATTCCTGGATTTTAATGTGAGTTTTGATTTAATATTGTTTATGTTGAGGTATGTGTTAATTAGTTGTTGTTTTAAGTTGGGTTTAATAAATTTTGGTTAATTTTGAATGAGTTTAAAGAATTGATGAAACTTTAAGTTGTAAAGATTTGAGTATTTGGTTTAATTTTGATATATTGGTTTATTGCTTCATAATTAGATTCATGAATTGAATTTTATTGGATTAGTAGAAATTGTTTGAAAAGTCTAAGTTAAAAGATTTGGAGTTTCAGTTAATAATTAATGTTTTGATCTCACTGACTAAAAATCCTGAATACGTCCCTGTATATGGATCAATTTCAAAATTTTATTATATATATTTGTTTGATAAATTTGTCACAAATTGCCTTTTTGGAAATAAAAAATGTGCAATAGGCTAATAGCTAGTTGTAAAGTGGCATTTATTTGTTTAATAATTAATAGCTAGTTGCAAATTGGCATTTAAGAACCAAATCTTATTAGACGGTGAAAGAAAAAGACAGAAGTCCCAAAGCCGTAAAGCGGTACCCAATTCAAGAAAAACAATAAACAAACATAGTTTCGAATGAACCCAAAATTTCAAACATATCTTAATTCTTAGCTAAAATAAGGGTTTATATTATTATATAGAAAAATACGTCACCCTCAAACTTTATCAGTATTATAAATATAAGGCCTTGAAATTAATCAGATCATCAATCTCATCAGAAAAATATCTTCAAATAAAATTCATCAAACTACGATGGTAAACACTCACCATATCCATGATACGTCACAAAATCAATGTGGGTCGAACCTTGTTCAGACCATAGACGCACCAATCTCTCTAGTATGGGCAATCCTTCGACGTTTTGATGAACCACAAGCCTACAAGAATTTTATAAAGAGTTGCACCATGTTTTGCGGCAGTGGTGGTATAGGAAGTGTGCGAGATGTGAAAATCATCTCTGGCTTACCGGCAACATCTAGCAGGGAGAGGCTTGACAAGCTTGATGATGAGTTGCATATTATGATGGTTAGCATAATTGGTGGTGACCATAGGCTCTCAAACTACCATTCGACAACCACTTTGCATGAAACGGAAGGAGGGCTGAAGACGGTGGTGACGGAGTCGTACGTGGTGGATGTTCCGGCGGAGAATAGCAAGGAGGATACTTGCACGTTTGCTGATACAATAATAGGGTCGAATCTTAGGTCTCTGGCTAGGGTTACCCAGAACATGTTCAACCACCTCTAAAGTTCATCATTTGTTTTCTAATACTTTAAGATTATTGTTTTTTTTATTATTATTTTATAGAAAGAATATAAATTTCATTATTTCGTATGAAGTTATGTTACAAAGTGAAATACGTGGCTAAGGTAATGAGCATGCAGAGTGACAGCAAAATAATGTTTCCGTGAAGCAAGCTACAAACTGCACATACGGAGAAAGTTTTCTATATTCACATTTCACCACCGAACTTTTCTCGCAATAGCCTTCACATGTAGTTAAATTAATATGAATTTTTAAATTAAATAAAATTAAAAAAAGGGGAATGGGATTATTATAAAGAGTTAAGGACTTTTTCCCTAACTCAAATAATATCTTAATGACACTTTTCTACACACACTTTTAAAATACTACTCTCCCACCCAAAAAAAATCACTACCACAAATTTTTAATTTAGTGACGAATTCAGTTTTGTAACAGAATGGTAATTTAGGGGACTAAATTGTAATTTTGTAAAAAAATGTTTAGCACTTAATTTCCAACCCCCACCAACATTTGATTTCACCAATCATATGGAGGGAAGAATGAAATTAATAATATGAAGGGGAATCATTCTGAGATGAAATTTATTATTTTTGGATAAAAAAAATCTTAGCTAAAAACCTTAATTTTTGGGATGAAATTTTTTGTCCCTAATTGTACAAAATTTGGAAAACTTATTAGGGACAAAACATGATTTTGTCCTCGATTGCAAAAAATATATTTTTAGGGACGAAATTTGGAAAATTAATTAGGGAGGAAATATTATTAGTTCTAGGTAAATGTAAAAACACTGAAATTCCTTTTCTATTTCATTTGAAACAAAACCCAGACTTGCTTATTGGTGAATCTCGATCTCTTACTCTAAAATTGATTGAAACCCAAGATAAAAAATTAAAAATTAAGTGCAAGTGGCGTATGAGGATCGGTTGAAAATGGCAGGAAGGCATGGCGGGTACATTTGAGGATCCCAACATGCTCTAAAGAGGCTGTCGTTTTCCTCTTTCTCTTCATTTTGCTCTTTGCTTCACCTCTACAACTGAATCAGGTTTCTTATTTAGTCGCTTCTTTTCTAGGATTCTTATTTTAACCAAACTGATTTCGCAGGATTTGCTTCCGGCTTTAATTGATTGTTTACGGAAATATTGAACTACGTCAATTTTCAACTTCTTATTTTCTTTTCTCCATTAATTTTTCTAGGGGATTTTGAGTTTTTGTCGTGGTTCTTGGGTTTTTCATTGTTTATTAAGTTCTTGTTTAACGAAGTGGTTTCATTTTTATTGTTCAAAACTTATGTAATTTATTTATATGTATTATTTTTTACAGGATTTTGAAGAATTTGCAGCTGCTAGGTAATGTATAGTTTTTACTATTGAATTTATAAATCTGAATTTGTTAATTTTACATTCTCATTTTTGTTAAAAATTATTGTTAGAACTCTGAAGCAAGTGGAGGAGAATGTTCATGACATACATTGTTCAAGAGAAAGGAGTACGGCGGCATGGAAAATTATTGAGGAGATTAGCACAATGTGTACAATTTATTAGACATATGATATGAATTTCTTGGTTTTATTGTTCATACCAAAGAGCATGGTTGCTACTTGATGTTTGGTGCAGTATTTGATGCCCTTTGTGGTGAAAGATGCTATCAGATTTCAACTAGGTGTAGATTTCACCCTGATAATGATTTGTTTAGAAATTAGGAACAACATAAATTCCATGTGGATATAAATGAATTACTTTTGGAATTGTTATCTTGGGCTTGAAAATGAAGATGGATTTTGGTTAGAATTTATGATTTTGTGTTTTTGGGATTATAATTGACAAAGGTTGCTATCGTGATAGTGTTCATTTTATTTGTTTTTCTATAACCTATGTTTTTTATATTTGGGCATTGACTTGATCATTAAACTGGTGGTTCTTATATTCGCTGCTTGTGGATTTGCATCGAGGCTATGAGATTTGGGGTTTATGCTACATGCTAGTTGTGAGATAAACAAAGTCCATGAAATAAGTCATAATTTTTCAATACAATATAACTATTCTTTATTATTTATTCGTTCTATTATCTTTATTTTGTTTTTTATCTTGCAAGTTTGAGTGAAAAAATATTATTTGCTAGAATTACTTGCATTATTCAATGTATTTTCCAATTAAATTTGTTTAAGATTAGTGTCTTCTTCATATTGAATTTGGCATTCTGGTATGGAAATTCACGGGGATGGCAAGTTATTTTTATTTCAGAGAAAATATATCAATAAAGTTCTTGAACGCTTTGGTATGTAGAAGTATAGTTGTTAGTATCCTATGATATCCGATATGTATCATACGATACGATTCGATACAGGTCGTCAACGATACGTATCAGAGAGTGTATCCTAAACATTTCGATACGTTGATATGTATCCTACGATATGATACGTATCCGTTCGTATCCTTAAAAATATCGATATAAATCGATAAGACTTTATTAATTTGGGCCAAAGGCCCAAAAAAAATTTCGGATCGAAACCGGGTCACCTAACCCGATTCACTAAAACCTATCCAAATTTATCCATTTTGCATGAAGAAAGTGAAGAGGAATATGTATTGCCCATTTTACATTATAATAATAATATAAGTGGAAATATAGATATTGACATTGATTTTGGAAATGATATGAATGGTTAAGAGAAAATAATATAAATTCTTAATTTTGTGATTAATTTTGATTATGTAATTCCGTAATTTAAAGCTACTAATACCACAAAATTCTTTAATTAATCTTGGAGATGATATTAATTTTTAGAAAATTTTGATTATTTTATTAATTTTTTTGAAAAAGGCGTATCCCACGATATGATACAATACGATACACAATACACGATTAAAAAAATCAGGTTTTTGATACACAATACGATATACAATTTGACAACCATGTGCAAAACTGTAAGCCTATGACTACTCCATTAGCCGCACATTTTCATGTTTATATTTAGTGTAACTTTATTTGATTAATATAAAATTTTAATTTAGTTTAGTTTTTAAAAAACGGAACCATAATTTATTCCATTATAAATGGTTTCTTTAATTCATAGGCTACAACCCATCCAACTCAGTTACTAAATTAATACACCCAACCCAACCTAATATATTTACTAAATACACTTAATATAAAATAAAAGATAAAAAACTATATACACCCAACCCAATAGGTTTTGAAATTTTCAGTGAGTTCACAAACAAATAATATTATCTATGCATTGAATGAAATAATTTGATTATTGAAAATTAACATATATCTTACATACATTAATTATATCAATCGTAATTCCACAGTGATCCTCGATGACCATTTGACTTCCATTTCACATACCCAACCTTTTGATTAGTTTTGTCTGACGACTCTTTAGCTCCCACGACCCATTCTGGCGGTTGTCCACCATTTTTAGTCTTTGGTTATGCAATGTCTCTTTCTAGCTAGTATACTTGGAAAATATAATATGATAAAAATACATAAGCATAAAAATGAAAAGTAATGGGCTCAAAAATCTTCTTTACTATATATATTAAACTCTTTATATAACAAAAGTATCATATACATTAGCTTGAAAACTATGGACAGTAGTGCCATTTCTTTCCGCTTCTCGACGTCTATCCGACCGCTTCTCATCTATTTCCTACAAAAACATTTAGAAACAATGGGATGAGCACTAGTTGCTCAGTAAGTAAATCCGCTACGCTATCCGTTGCTCATATTCTAAATTCTTTCCTTACATTACTCTTTTTCTTCTTCTTGATTCTCTTTGTTCTTTTGTTATCACTTTCTTTGTTCTTTCTTTCTAGTTCTCTCTATTCTTTCTTTATCACTTTCTTACTACCTACGATAGAAATCATGGTATCATGCATAAGTATGATGCAAATGCACAAATGCATAGAGATGCATTTTCTTTCTACTTTTCTGTTTCTTATTTTGTTTTCTATGTTTCTTTCTTCTTCTCTTCTTCTCTTTTTCTTTTCTATTCTTTCTTTTCTTTTCTTATTCTTTGCCGATCAAACTTAGTTGATGCATGGATTCGAAACCCTGACTGTGTAAGTGAGTACAGTCCTCATCTACATACACTCTTACGGACTGTACGAATTCTTTTCTTCTTAGGCCACTCATTCAAGGTGGCGTGCATATAGGTATATTCTTCTACGTACAACCCTTATCCACACACACTCTTACGGGCCGTACAAATTCTTCTTCTTATTCTTAGGCCACTTATTGAAGGTGGCGTGTGTGTGGGAGTATTCTTCTTCTTATCACCCACGGGTTTCCCATCGCAACAACCTTTCTTTTCTCTTCTTTAGCACTCTTCTTTCTTTCTTTTCGTTCTTTAGTGCTTTTCTTTCTTTCTCTTTATTCTTTAAGTTCTCATACATATGCATATGATTGCATGTAGATGATTCATGCTCATTATTCTTTCTAAATGTAAATATCTAATGCAAGAATGCCATGTAGCATAAAAATAAGTCTTTCTCTATCATCTACAAGCTCATGTTAAGATCACAAATAAATACACTCATGTATACACTTCTCTTGGACATTTCATCAAACATTATGCATGCATACTCAAATTCTAATTTAGCTATACTTCTACTTCTTTCTCAAACCACTAATATTTGAGGTAAAACTCCCTTAAAGCAAAATTAAACCTAGCCAAAAAATACACTCCATAAATTATACTCAAACTCTTTCTAAATTCAACCCAACTTCCATCAATTTCTATCAACATAACCATCCCTTCTCATGGTGTAAATCCAATCATGGATCATCAACAAACTCAACAACAATTCCATCAACAAATCCCAAGCATATAAATTCATATAAGAAAATCTCTACACTTTTATTGCTAAATCAAGGATTAGGGTTGGATTTACTTACCTTGAACTTGATTACTTCCACTAGAATCTCTCTTTCTTTGGTAGACTTGTTCTTTCTCTAAAATCCTAAGCATAAAAACTATAAGA